TTAATAAATAAAATATACCAATATTTATATCTGTTTAAAGGATAAAACTAATAATGTCTTTCCTCCAAAAAAGACTATTTCTTTTCCGCTAGCAGTTCTCAGCTCGATTTCGATTGTATCTATATAATTACGTCGTAAAGGAAGGTATAGAGGTGATTGGTAGACTCTAACTATCTGATCTGACTTTTCCCCCATTACAGGTATAACCCTTAAAAGTGGAGCGGTTATATCCCCAACACGATGAGAAGCAACGATATTCGAATAAATAAAAATTTCTGAAATTCCCGCAGATAATTCGATGGGATAGTCGCTCACATATTCGCCTTCGGAAAATTTGCTTTTTTTAAATCCTAACAAATCTTTTAATTCGTTTCCGAATTCAATTGTTATATTTTTATGAACTTTTAAAACGATTTTGTTATTAGGTAGTAATGCTAATTTAATATATTTAAAAATTCCAAGAAATTTTTCAACAGAGGAATATAACCCGATTGGAATAAAAATTTTTTCCTCTACATCGATTTCCTCGACAACTTTTTTATCTCTTTCTATTAAAGTTATAAATTGATCTTTATAAAATCTAGGATTTGATAGATATTCCTCACTCGCATCTCGCAATATTAAACTCGAACTCCGTTGTTTAAATACTATATCTTTGGTCGGTAAATTTAAAAAATAAAGTAGTTTATGAGCCTTTTCTCTCGAAATACGCAACTCGAATCCCTCTTCCAAATTTAGTTTTACGTTTTTATAATCCTTGTCTAAAACAAATTCTGCCAACTTAGATCCTGTTAACGAAACTATATTCTTGTTTATCCAATGGAAAAGCGTCCCTTCATTTTCATCGCCTGTAGTTAATGGAATCTCACATGTTACATCAGTTATTTTTTCTCTTCTAATTTTATGTCTAGTAATAGTATAATCGTTATTATGATTTGATATGTTGAACCAATATCTAGGAATAATAACCTCGCTCAGACCTACTACCCATTTCCCGCGTAAATCAATAGGTGGACTCATTTTCACGGTGAAATGAGACTGCTTATTTTCGGGAAATAACTCCATGCTGGCGTTGCTTATCAGAGTGACGAAAAAGTCCGACTGCATCATTTTGTTACCTTCTGTAATTCTTCTGTATAAAATCTTCCTTCCAAAATCTCGTTATTTAAATCTTTCAATATATACGTCGGAGGATGAGACGAAAAACGATCGTAAATAATAAATATTTCTTCCGTCCAACCCGGTAGGTATCCTCGACTAAATGTTTTACGTATTTTCGAAATTCGAACGAGGTCGCCAATATTAAATTTAAACGTGTTCTGTCCTTTTATACCGTACAACTTTTCGAAAATAGAGCTGTGATGCAAAGGTGTAACTTCCGACGGCGACATACCGATACTTCTATGAAAACTATTATTATAACTTTTCACAATATCCGATAATTTATCGATATATTTATAAGAATTACGATAAGTAAATAATCTATATATTTTATTTCGCAAAGTTTTATTTAATCTTTCAACAACAGCAGCTTTTGTATCTGAATGAGTCGAATAATGATTAATTTTAAATTTTTTAAAAAGATTTTTTACTAATTTATTATAAAATTCTTTCCCCTTATCAGTTTGTAAATTTTTCGGAATGTTTCTTTTTTTAAAAATCATTTGAAAAGCTTTAAAAACCGATTGGGGTTTTTTATCTTTTATCGGTACAACATAACAATACTTAGTAAATACATCGATTACAGTTAGTAAATACTTTATTCCATTATTAAATCTAGAAAATTGTTTTAATACAACTAAATCAGCTTGCCATAAATCGTTAGGATAAAAACTTATAGTTTTTCGTCGCGAATATTTAATTCTTACAGGTTTATGAAGCGTATAAGTTACTTGAGAAGACAGCCATTTTTTAACAACAGATCGCGGTAAATTTGATTCTTTAACTAATTTACTCACGCCACCGAAAGACGCTGGAGATTTAGGATTATAGTATATCGATTTCAAAAGTTTTTCCATTCAAGATTTTTCTTCCTCTTCCTCTTAGATTTTTTCGACTGATGAGAGAAAATTTCTTCTGGAGTTTCAACCGATGATGATTGATCGAATATTTTTTCTGGTGATGTCGCCAAACTTTTGTTTCCAATCCACTCTTTAGGAATATTTATTTTCTTTAAGCCATCAAAAAAGTCTTTGAAACCAACGGGAGGTAATGCAGTTTTCCTATTTCTCATTACATACGAAACTAAGTCTACTATATGACTCCCAATAACGGGTTTTTCATTGATTGTTAATTCACCTTTAGAATTCCATCCGTAATGACTTTGATCCAACTTAGCGATTAAATGAGGTATATATTTTTGATATAATTGTGGTACTGATAAAATTATTTGTTTCATAAATCCGTCGTCATCAGTTTCTTCTTTCGGTTGAGATTCTGTTTCTTCATTTTGGTTAGATACAACCGATACTCTGACAGGTTCTTTAGGAGCGTGAACGGTTCTCTGATATCTCGAAATCAATTGACTTAATAACTTGACTTTATCGTCATCAGGTAAATTTGTACTCTCGAGTAATTCTTCGATATTAGAACCAATTCTTATTTCAGGCTTTTGATAACTCATCAGTAATTCGGGAGGAACTAAGGCCATCTGCTTCGCCATTAGATTCTTTTTCCTATTACTTTACCGATTAATCCTCCTGCCATAGACAATAACGGCGCCAGTAGAAGAGGAAGGAATCCGCCAGATTGATTAACCAAAATTTTTTTCTTGGTATTTAAAGGAACGCGTTTTTCGCTTAATTTCCTGATAATTTTTTTATATTTTCGTAATTTACGAACATCGGTGGGTATATTTCCTCTCCGCAAATTATCACAAATTTCACACAATACTTTCACTTGATTGGGAGTGGCTTCTTTTAATATGGCTTTCCTTTGTGAAGGAGTAGTCTTCGCTAAAAGCGCTAGCATATGATAATTTTTCTTTACGTTTTTCATTTTATCGGTAAGTAAATCCAAAAAATACCTCGTTCGTCTGGAAAACAAGAATCTCTCACAGAAAATTTCTTATCTGTTTTAGGATGAAAATCTAATAACAAATAACCAAAATCCTTTTCTGTCGCTTTTTTATATGCATCCATGAAAAAATTAAATTTTCCCGCAAAAGCTTGGCGACCTAAACAATTCACCTGACTCTCATCACGATTATTTTTAAATAAAATCAGATAATGTGTATTTAAACTTATATCTCTCATAATCTTATTTTTTGGAAACAAATTTTGCATTATTAAAATCACACTTACATTACAGTGATGAGATTCTGTCGTAAACAAAAATGCTGTTTTTGGAGACAGTTTATGCATCAGATCATTGATTATTATCAAATCCCATCCTTGAACAGATTCGGGTAACCCGTACATAAATGTAATATCCTCTTCTTCTTGAAAAAACGGTAAATATAATAAGTAACAAAACGGTAAATATAATAAGTAACACCATAAAATCTTCTTCGGAGGATTTTCATAAATTTTGTTGTGAATCATTTTTCTTACCAATGTGGTTTTTCCGGATTGGAAAGGACCGGCAATTACACATGTACTAGAATGTTTAAAATACATATTAATCAGCTTTCTCACCCTTAGAAAATTTAGAAAATTTATAATATTTCATTCCTGGACTTATCTCTTTAAACACTACTAAAGTTTTCTTATCATTTTCTAAACATATTTCTCTCATATCTTCCGCACACCGTTCGAACGAACCGTATAATCCATTACATACTTCGTTAATTCCTCCATCCTCACCAACAATTATAAAACCGTATTTTCCTTCTCCTTTCCAAATATCTTTGACTTTGAAATAGCGGAGGATAAATGGAAAATTATCAGGAACATCAAACGAGAAATTTTTTACCGCGGAAACGCAAGCGTCCAAAGTACGGTACAGAATTGAAGAAGATGAGTATATTTTATAGTCTCCGTAAGTAACCAGAAAACCGTACATC